CTGAATTGAGCGATCAATTATTAGACCCGGACGTCCCAACACTTGCTTCGCAAGACAAACTCAAGGTATCCCCTAAAGGGCTACCTTTCGTGATATGTTTTAACTATATTGGATGCTTTCGTGGTTGGATCTTCATTCAAGGCATCGAACTAGCCCAGGCATGCCCAGGTTGAGTGTGTTCGATTTGAGAGCCCCACCAAAGCCATTCCAAGTTGACCGCACTTTTGGCACTCGCGCGTAGCAATCCACACTTTGGCGAATGGCTTGCCCACAGCCAAAACAAAGTGGCGAAGAATTGCGAGAGCAAAACCCCAGAACCCAAACTGTAGCAGCAGGAAACCCGGAGAGTTTGCTAAAAAGCTCACTCTCCTTGCCTTTCAAGGCTCTGCACGATCTCCGTCACAATATTCTTGACCTCTCATGCTCACAGCTTCACAGCTGTTGGACATACTTGCATTGCACTTGCAGCACAGAATGTTACATACATGAATATAAAAAAATGTATAAATTACAGATGACATTTATGATGCGAGTCCTGACAAAGCCTGTGCGGCTGACTACCGACGCACGGCAGCGCCATGGTTTGCCTCCTCCTTTCGCTGCAGCAACCCATCTTTTGGCATTTCAAGAGCGGCCTGAACATGCGGCACGATTGGAAGATCGAACGTCACTCAGGTGGCCATGCCGTTCCACAGCTTGCCTAGGTCCATCTTTTCGCTTTGACATACCATGTCAATGCGGCTTTTTCTCCGAATTGCTTAGGTGTTCAGGTGCTCATGCGTTAGCAAAGCTCGGAATACTTTCTGATGCTACTAGCAAAAAGGACCCTTCAAAGGAAATGGATGGAATGGGAAAAGGAGAAGGCAAGGGAAAAGCAAAGGAATGGTCAAGGAAACCATGGACAATGCGGGAAAGAGGGACAAACAACTCGGACAACTAAATACAACGCGAAAGGAACAGTTTGGAATGCCTTGAATATTCCAAAAGGAGTGTTTTTTGGTTCGGCTTCACTGCCATGATGCACTGTTGGCCTCCAATTCTTCACGGACTTTTCGCAAGCTGACATTTTGCAAGTCGCGGCCTGCCAAACGGCGACTCCCCGACGTCCCAAACTTTTAGAGATTGTATGTGAAACACGGCTCCTCAAGCTTTAGACTGGATTCTTCAACTAGTTGATGCACGCTTTATTCGGGGGGGGAGTAGGACTTAAATGCCAATGCCAACAATGCTTCAAAGATCGCTACCACCAGTGGGCACTTCCTTGCCGCATATATAATCAGTCGTCGTGCTCGCCGCACCTCCTCTTCCCAATATCATCCGAGGTCCATATTAAACTATAAAACTGGTGTAACTTGTTTCTTATGGTCAGCCCCCAATAGCTGCGCAAATACATGCTTGGAGACGCGGACTATCGCGGACATACTTGGCGTAGTCAGGCGTAGTCTTGGATCAATGAGAATTGCAAGCATTTGCACTCTTGCACAGCAGCACACCCATCTTGTGTTGGCTCAAGTCACCCAAACTGCGCATGGGTGCCTTCATTCATGCCAGACCAGTGTCACAAAACCATCTGACAGCATCTGACAGCTGCTGCATGTGACACTTTGTCCATCGAATGGCACGCCAGGCCTTGCAAAATCATTGTGAGCTCTTCTTTCCACCTTGATGTCAAACAATTTCCAACACACGTTGGTGCTTAATTCATTCGATGCCATGATATGATTACTGTGGATCCGTACTTCGCGTGCTCTGGTCTTTCAACGGGAGAAGCTTCATCCCTCACGAAAATGCTATCATGAACTCGAAAACTCGGTCTCACAATATTGACAATCAAGTGTTGATAATAACATTTGAGTCTGAGTGTGCACTTTGTGGCATGTGCGTGTGTGATCGTGTGTGTCCAAACTTGGAAGAAAAACTTAGCATCCCCATTAATTTAGAACACATTAAACAAACTGCAGTGCGTTGCAGCCTGGCCGGAACAAGACAAGCCGGTGCATTTCAGTGTAAAGTAAAGTAAAGTAGTAAAGGCAAGCAAACGGAAGGGCAATCAACCTGATCGGAGTCAGGTACTCAGGTCTAAATTACGTTCGAAGTCAGCATCCAAACACGAAACCATCAACAAACTAATCCTCCACTGCAGTCCGCAGTAGCTCATGCATGCTCATTCTGGTAGAACATGGGCATCCTCGTGGAAGCGTTCTTGTTCTGCTTCGGCTTCTTCGTCACGTTTCCTCAGCAACAGTGGCAGACTGCCACTCCTGTCACTGCATAGCTCCCCCCCAAAAAAAATACAAAATTACAAATCATCATGGATGCCTTGCCATACCCTGCCTTCTGTGCTGACTTGGCCTAACATCTTTGTAATGTTTGCCATTTCTGCCTCTCGGCTCATCACAGAATATGCAGGACATGGAACGGGCATGCCAAATATTGGAGCCCTTACCGGTCAAAAAGGTCCAAACAGCATGAAACAAATTGAATCAGTGGCCTCCAACCTAATAGCGATGGCCTCCAACCTACTAGTATGGCCTCCACTACTAGCGATGGCCTCCAACCTAATAGCGACGGCATCCAACCCAATAGCAAGTGTGGGTACCAAAGCGCAATAGTGCCACAACTTTGTAGCACTTCACTTCTGAAATTGGCCTTGAGCACGCCCCACAGTATCGCTGAAAGGCGGATCCCCTGCTTGCCTTCGAAGGTGGCTGCGTGTGAAACTCCTAATATGGGCTGGACACTTTTCCGACTGAGTGTTGGCATTATACAATTGGCTTCAATTGATACCTCAGTTACAGTAAGAAGAACCAGCCAGGTCTTTATGCCCCTGCCAAACAGGACAGTAGTCGGTAGACATTTGTAGACAATACCGTGGGCTTCTGGATGTTTCAGGTTCAAACATATGGAAAGTCGTGTCTTGTGTCGCCTGGCTTCTTCTCTCCATCGCTCTTGTCCTTGGCAAGGTTCGTTATGACTTTTCTTGACATATTTCGTATATTCATGTATGATTGAATAATAGCGGAACTTGTGTGGCAAAGGATCTCAGGCAAGGCACTGTGTAAAAGCGTCGAAGATCTACACTTCCCCCAGTAATGCTGACCGTCACGTCCCCTTCAGCAAACCAGGAATTCTCTTCGCCCTGATCGGCCAGTGCCGTTGTGACCATTCTTCCAAGTGTTTGCACAAGAGGTTAAGAAGGAAGCACATTCTTTTGGGGCAGTAGATTGATGTAGGTCCTGCGAGTCCCGCTTTGCCATCTCTGTCCCATCAAAGTGCGATCAGTCCCTCTTGTGGGCGGTGGGCTACAATATACACGCAACATCACGCAACCAACTTCTTGCCGTTGCTGCAATTCCCGTTCAACAAAACATACAAAAACAACAAGTCGGACGTTGTATCTGTTGGCACCTCCTTCAGCATTTCGTCAATGCGCTCCTTGCCCGCACCTCATCAGCCACACCAATAGAGCATCACTGTGCGCCAAAATTATACCGACCTCGTTTCATGTATTGAACGTATTGCATCTTGGCTGTGGCAATCCTCGAGTCCACGCCTAAGGCCCTAGCAAATGGCTTCCCACTCAGACTGGGACATCCGCAGGCCCTTGCACACACAGAAATATGTGGCCCTTTGAAGTCATATTCGATCCTTTCGGACATTCCTAACTTCACCAAAATACCAAACTCGGCATATCTGTGCTCACACAAATATACACATCAAATGCGTATTCAAACATATTATATTCATATGCACGCATGGGTTTTGAGCCGCTGGCTGGCAAAATTTATACTGTGTTTGCCCTTTTGCGCTGACCTCATCCTGTGTAAATACCCTTTGTGAATACCATCGAATCAGTCTGAGTTGGGATAAGCCAGGTCAGTGTGCTTGCTTGGCTGTTTGCGACTCGAACAAGTGATATATACCCAAAACAGGGAGCGAGAGACAATTACAAAGAGTGAGAGGGAGTTACAAAATCGCCAAACCGGTGACGAATTGCTGGTTCACAAAATGAGCGAGTCATCCTTGATCAGTTTGAGCTTGCTGTCACTCAGATCAAGAAGTGGAAGTGGGAACTCCAATTCCATATATATATATAACATTACATAATCACAAAACCATGTCATGGATATCTGGATATGGTATCTACCTAGGTGCACGCAAAGCCGCCAACACGATGATGCCCCTTGACGAGTCGTTCATTCATATTGCAAGCAGCCTTCCCAGGGCGTAGTTCTCCAGATGCCTCCACGGATGTCATCTATATGACCCAGTCACCGTTGATACTTATACTTAACATATGAAGATTGGAGTCAAAAGCGCGTAGTAATGTCTACTTTTCAGAAAGGGCCCATATTGTGCTTCAACATGGTTTGAACTGTAATTAACCATATGATCAGCCGATTCGGCATCCTTAACGAAAAATCAGAATCATGGAGGATGAACTTCTTCAATTCTCTGAATGCAGCAAAATCTGGAACTCTGACAGAAAATTTGTCAGGGGCTTGCCAACCTTCTCTGTCCAGAATCGACGAATGTCAACACCTGAGAGACATTATCAGTCTGGTGAAACTATGTGACACATCCTGAAAAAAGGAGCTTCCTAACACCTTTTGCCACTAGGAACAAAAGGCTACTAGGTGGAGGCAATCGCTATTAGGTTGGAGGCCATCACTAATTACTAGTTAGTAGCTAGAAGCTCCTAGGTGGAGGTCTAGTGAGTCTAGTACTGAGCCATGTTGAGCCTAATCGCGAGGTCATTTCCTCTGGGCTGGGTAGCTTTGGTGACAAGCAAGTTCAAGTCCGCGTCCTGAACCTTGACATCCCTTGACAAGGGAATAAACGTATCACGTAGTGGTGCCTGTTTAATTGAAACAAGCGATCGCCAACGTAGTCCAACACATCCCGCTTCTTAAACCCTAAAGCTTCTCAAAGAAAGGTCTATGTAGAAACATGCGCTATACAGTAAACAGCTTTCGACCAGCAATTTGCAAGAAGCATGGACCTTGCCCCTTGAGAAGGGACATATATACTTGGACAATTGCCCACTGTTCGGTCGAGCGGCCAATCTTGCCCTGATAGGCATTGGCTTCAACCCGAACCTCAATACACCAAACTGCATCATACTGCATCTACAACTTGGCTGCAAACAGCAGTGCACGGGTTGATGTGCAGCTATCCTGCGGGGTAATGACTCCAAGGAACCATACTATACCAAACCCACGGACCCATCACATGTATATAGTATATAGTATATAGTGTATAGTGTATAGTATATATATATACATATTGCTTTCACAATCGGCAATCTGAACATTCCAGCCACGGAGCGTTATCATCTAACTGGATGACCTGCACTGCTATGGTCAAGGATGAGAAAGGTGTGCTGTTCAATGCATGGGCATTTTCTGGCTCATGGTTGGCAGTGTCGAAATCAATGATTGATACTACAGTTTGATGCTGAACGCAATTTATTCCAGCCTCGGACTCCCCTTCTGCAGCTGCCCTCTTCTTTGGTGCCTGGGAAGGCCACTCACTTTGTCTTGGGGCGTGAAAAATGGAGACGTGTGTTCTTTCTTCTTCCTTGACACATAATACAAAAGCTAGGCTTTGGAATTGCTGACCTGAGGAGCAGCGGAGTTTTTGGTGGCTGCAGTCGGTCCTGTGTTACCATTGGTTGTTGAACCAGTCCTCAGAACCCCATGTGAAGTCATCTTGCAAGCAGCAACTGGGAAATCCATACCTGAGTTTGATTCAATGTCATGAGTCATAGCGATTCACCCTCTGCTTCTGTGCTAAGAACTAGGCTTGTCTTCGACCTTCTTGACTGTACCACAGTTCTGCAGGTCTTAGTGGATTTAACGATTTTTTTCTTCACAAATACAAGAAAAAAAGTTGGTTGGACACAACAAATGCCAAACAAAAGGAACAGCTAGCAGGCTATCATTCTCTAGGCCCCTGTGCCTTGCAAAAGTGCAGCCTGCCACCCAGAAACGCTTATTAATGAGGTGACGGTGGGACATCTACAGTACATCAAGCTGAAACTGGGAACGCCGAAGTGGTGTTAATAAGGCTTGCTCCCTGCATGGTGTTAACATCCAATAGTGATTCGGTAGTAGATGAGTCCATAAGCGCTCAAAGACTTGCGGGCCTTCTTTGAGCCAGGAAAGATCCAAGACTTGAGGTTGCTGTTCCATTTGCCACCTTTCAACTTCAGGAAGTCCTGTGGAACCCACACAAGCTGCAAAGGGTCATTAGATTCTGGTGAGATGAGAGTCGAGTACCCACAAGAGAGACACATCAGGTATAATAAAGTATATACAGTATTACGGGATTACGTAGGTAGACAAAATTATGTGTATATATTTATATATATCTATAATGTGTACACATATGCATCTACGTGGGGTAGCGACTGCCAGTGCCTTTTCCACCTGCTGAGCAGATCTGCAGGTTTGCGGTTAAGTAGAGATAAACGGCTTGTGGCCCGACAGTCGGCTAAATGTGGTGGTAGAAAGCTAGAGCTAGGCTAGGTCTGACACATGCAACATATATATATATATATACATTGCTGAAAAAAAGCAACCAACTTGTTAATCCAGTCAGAGCAACAACAACAAAAATAATCATTCATGAAGACCTCAACCGTGTGGAGACCTGACTTTCCATTCCAGCATTGTAACAGCTTGTAGTACCCAAAATCACTCGAGGGTCATATGTGTTGAATATCCATCGAGATTATAGTGAAGTGACATGTTAACAAACAGGCATTCTGAGCGACGAAGGATGGAACGTGCGACACCACTGGCGAGATGACGATTCTCGGATGGTTTAGACAGCGCCTTGATTTGCATAGTGTCACCCTTGACGACCACAGCCTTTCAGGCAGGCCCAAACCATACAATCCCACAACATGACCTGCCAAACAGCAGCTCTGGTTTTGTAAGCGTTGGGCCTTGCCATGGGCTTCCAGCCATACACTTGCCATTCTTCACGATAAAATGCGAAGTTTACATTCTGATTATTGAGGTAATGAAAGCTATCTGGATTCTCTTATCATCCGATCGACTGTGGCAAGTGGTGAGCTAGTCTCTTGACATGTCTTGATGAGCATGCTCACTATTGTCACGTCCATCCATTTGAGACCTATCTACACCCCTCAAAGCTGAGTGAATTGGGAAAAGTAGGTCTGACAAATTGGCAACTCCGACTCAAGCAGCTGGTTTCTGCACATCACCACAGGAATGTCTCAAACTCTCCGTTCCGGTGTCTTTGTCACTCTCAGCCAACTCTGCTCGCTGTGAGACGCATAAGACCCCTTGAAAGTTATATCATTCTCCCAGTCCTTGCCGAGAGGGCTCTAATATCCTCAACTCCAATCAACTCAACTTGTAGGCAACATGCCATTATGATGCCACAAAACAAGCTCTACCAGGCAACAGCCTAAACAGCCCCCAGCCAAACAGCCAATCTCAGGCTATCACCTGAACTCATAAAGGCCACCAGTCGCAAAGGTGTGTGAACTTAACCGTTTAACACATAGGTTCAGTTCCTCTTGGAAGAAAATTGAAGAAACTAATGCATAATCATGCATAATCATAATAATTTGTTGTTTGCCTGTGTTTATTGTTGCTTGTTTTCCCCAGTGCCACTGCTGCCTGGCCTGAAGCGTGGTGTACGAAACCGTGACAAGGACGTGCAAACGAAGGCGCTGGGGTTTCGTACCTATCATGGATCTGTCACGGTCTGTCGGTCTTGCAAGAAAAGCACATCCTCTGACTTCCACCCAGAACAAATCTATTGAGACTGGGACTGGGCTTTAAACCCCATTTCTTTCCGATGGATGATCAAGTACCTCAGTCCCCTTTGCTTCCAACTCGTCCAGGACCTGATGAGCACGGACCTCGGCAATGCTGTTCGGTTGCTTTGAGAGATACTGTCCTTCTGTAGGCTGCGTCTGATCAATATTATGTTTTTGTGTTTCTATTTCTACCTGCATTGTATTATATTGCGAATACATGCGATCTGCCACCACTACATCTATCTACATGTGCATGGTGCCAATACGCATCAAACTCAGATGCAAGCCAAATCCGCGGCGCGCAGAGTCCTGACATGCTTCAGAAGAAAGGCAGGCAAGTTGACAAGCGGCCGAACGTTGAACTTCCATGTGCCTCTTCGCGTCGTCGTCCTCGGGACAAGGAGCAAAGCCAACACCCTCAATCTTGGTGCAAAAAACTTGAAAATGGGATCGCGGCCAATGCAAAGCGTGCGGCTCTAGTCTCCAGGTCCACCTGCTTTTCATCTGAGATGCAACGATTTTATACAATCTTCCTCTACTTGCATCACCACCCTGGAAAAGGAGCCATGAGGCCCCTGCATGCTCTCGTAATTCCACTCTTTGAACAGCTGTCAGCTACAGAGTTACCAAGTCACGGTAACACAAGGGGGCATTGAACCGGTGCCAGTCACATGTCAATCCTGCCACGGTTATCATAGTCTTGTACTCGTGAACCTGGATTTGAAGAAGCAAAAGCCCACTTGGCCCAAAACAACATTGCGCTTTTTGGGCCATCGCTAGTACGCTAGTAGGTTGGAGGCCATCGCTCTTACCGTAGCAAGCTTACACTCGGGTACCACAGAAGCTTTCACAGGCTTCTTACAGCCTCTGTGTGCATGATTGCCGGCGCTGCCAGCGCCTCTCGGGAGCAAACAGGATGAGACTATCAGAGGCTTGCAGTATATATCTCCAAAGCTTGTTTTTGTGCCTCCGCTTGGCCTGTCCCGTTGTCCTGTGTCCTGTCAAGAGACCAAGCTACCTCATTGATTTCTGGTACAATTCTGTCTGGGCAAGGCCAGCAACCTCAAGTATTACCTGCATCCAGCAATGGACATGTGACAAGTGCCTGACTTTACTTGACAACATTAGCCGAATCATTAACCCTATTAGGAACCCTATCATGTGAAAAAGCTGTGTCTGTCCGGGCTGCCGCCATGGTAGCCTGGATGAAAACTTGCCGAGAATCTGCTTAGCCGCAAGCATGAACATCGTTCACCGCTGAAGTCATACAATTGCTTGCACTCCAGGGCCACCACATTTGCCGCTTTGATGACAAACGCGGATGGGTTTCGGATCTCGCAAACCAAATGAAGCAAACAGAGTGCTGGAGCCCCTAGTAGCGTCATTGCTCCTAGTAGCGAGCCCCTAGTAGCGAACATTGCTCGTAGTAGTAAGGCCAGGAGCCCCTAGTAGCGTCTTTGTTCCTAGTAGAGTGCTCTTACTTGGTGGTTGGTGACCTGGTGGCCCTTTTGACGCAAGGTAACATCAAACACAAAAGCCCTGACTTTCCATCTATATTCAGGAAAAGTAACTGCAGCTAACTTCGTTCACCAAAGTATTGAGACCCCAGCATCCGTTCTCCGAGCCAAGTCTTCAATCATTTCCATTCCCTTGGTGTCTTGTGGTGTAGAAGATGTCCAAAGCAACTGGCCCCTGCATGCCCCTGCTTGTTGCTGCTAGCTTCCAGGTTTGCGCTTGGCTCCGCACACGAGACGGGTCGATGGATTCTAGCTTTCTCCTGTGCTTTTGTTCGGCCAAAGAAGCCACCGGGTTTAGAAGCAAATGTCGGAAACTCTTGATCCAACTTCCTAGCATCCCACGTGGCTTCAGATCTCGCAAGCAGTGCTCACCCATGAAATGCGGCTGCAATGTTGAGTCAAGTCTGATGCTACTTTACAATTACACGTCTCATCACCTTTCCCTCTCAAACGCTTCCTTGCTTGTAGATCAAGATCGATGTGCGGATACTGCAAGAGTGCCTCCGAATCTACTAAGGCACTTGTTTCTAATAGCTTCTAGTTACTACTAGTAATACTAGTAAGGCACTTGTTTCTAGTAGCGAGGCACTTGTTACTAGCTTCCTAGTGCCTCTCATGTCGGATCAAGTCGACATTGATCGCAACAGGCAACAGTTGACGAAACACGGTCGCTGCAGAAGATTCAGTCAGCACTGACAAGCTGTTGGACTCAAATCTGAACCTGCCTGGTCCACCCAACTAGGACCTTCACGCCTGGGAGACCTCAAAGAGTCGAACACGAAACACGGTGAGATGATTTGATTTTGAAGAAAAGCAGGTGACAACTTACACCGACAAATGCTTTCAGTTTGTTTGCATGTTATGTCGTAATATGCTCCATTTTAATCTTTTTTGTGGGGGCACCAGGTCAAAAATACTTCCAATTCTTTCCGTGGCAGAATGCCAAACGTTGCCTATGCTCAAGAGATTTGATGAGGACTGTTTACATTGTGTTTGTTTGTGTTTGTATATCTACTGTACAGTATATATTTTTTGGGGGGTCAATTGGTTGAAACCCTCTACCATGTGTACAGCCACTTGACCCTCTGCCATAGTGCTGGGATATCGTTTTACTCTGCCAGGACTCGCTCCGCTGTCATATTCCTTCAACTGTGCTGATAACCAGTGTCTATATAGTTCTAGATTCTAGCCAATTCAAGCCTGAAGTTCGAACAACATTGCCCAGAAAGGCAACAACCTACTTCTCCAAACATGGTTGGTGTTTCACGCGCACCAAAATGCTCCTTCTTGTTTTGTCTTCGGCTCTGCGGCCAAGAGTACACAGGCTTAGGGAACGAGCGCTGCCATTCACGTGGGCTGGAATCACCGACTGCTTCAGTCAGGGCCGGTCGGGAAGATTGCATCAGCACAATTTGGCTCAGTCTTCAGTATTGTGGCACTTGCTGGGCGAGGGGAGCAACCAATGGCATATCAGAAGCCTGACAACACCAGGTCAAAGTTGGAGCGCCCCTCATTCCACCTCTTAGAATCCGCACGCCAGCCTCCACGCAAGAAAAGCCAAGCCAGCACCAGCAGCTGCTTTCACATTCACAAGGTCCAGCAGCAAACAAAGCCCGGTCGCCCAAAGAAAAGCCAAAGCCTTGGCATCGAATTGGAGTTAAAACATGCACAAACATGTGCTTACAAAACTCTGCAATTGCTCGGATTTGTCTTGTTTGTTTTTTGTCAATGTATTTCATCCTACTTCCATCACTAGGCCAAGAGCCGGAACCCAGGAAGGATAGCAACGTGTCCGCCTTTTCGGTGACACGCTCGAAGAGATGCCTGGGTCAAGCCTCGAAACAACAATTGCCAAGATTTAGTTACTAGAAAGTTTTCTTGTTACTAGTAGTGGTGGCCTCCAACCTAATAGCAACGGCCTCCACCTAGTACCTTCTAGTTACTGTATTTTTGGATTTCGACATGTCTGTAAACTAATTGCAGGACTCTTGAATCGCCGGATGTTTTGTCATGACTTGTCTATTGCATGTTCAAATCGTTTTCCTGCTCTGCCTCTTCTACGATCCTTCACAAAACTGAATCGGAATGCAATAATGCAATAATGGACCCATTCAAGTCCAGCCGTTCCAGGTCAAATTGTAAGAACATATGAGCTCAAGTAGCATTGTGTCGAGCGTGTATGCCGCCAGCACCACCAAAGGCAGCGAGCCAAAGTACAGCCATAGTGAGGGTGCTGGCACCTGTCATGCACGACACTTGTCACTGCTCAGAAGTCAGGGACCACTTGTCACTTCGCAGTGACTATAGTAGTAACAAGTGCCACGCTAGTAGTAACAAGTGCCTTACTAGTAGTAACAAGAAGCTATTAGTAACAAGTGCCACGCTTCCTAGTGACTATAAATACAACGAGTTTTCGCAACATGATCCCTCACACCCTGAAAATCCCTGAATAGTTCAGTGGTATCGGTAATATTATATAACATACTTTTGACAGAGCGTCTTTTTTAAGGTCTGCTTTGTTTATATATTGAATTGGTTTTCTATTGTTCAGCTGTTGTGTCCTTTTTTGAGATTCCTTCTTAACCTCTTCTGAGGTTTGCTTGTTTCCTGGAACATTGACCTGAGACCGTGTTCAAATCCAGTTTTAAACTTATCGATGTCATTGCTCTAAACAATGTTTGAAGGAGGTGGTAAACCCAAAAGAAGTGAATTATCAAGATTTATAGCTTAGTTTTCTATTGGTCTTCTATTGCTGCCCGTTGAGATCCTTGCTTAACCTAGTCTGCTGTTTCCTGGAACTCTGACCTGAAAACATGTTTTCAAACACTCTCATTATAACTCATTGAAATCAATGCTCCACCTTTTTTCAAGGAGGTACACAAGCCCAGGGAAGTGAATCATACAACATTTGTGCACCAACTTGGAACCCTGAAAAGAACATTGGAGCTTTGTTTTCTGCTACTGCTACCCTGTTCAGATCCTTGCTTGACCGTACTAGGGCTCCTACTACTACTACTACGACGACGACGACGACTACTACTACTACTCCTCTTGCTACTGCTACTGCTACCTCTACCTCTACTACTACTCCTACTACGACTACGACTGCTACTGCTGCTGCTACTACTACTACTAAAACTACATAAAACTACTACTCCTAGTGCTACAACTGCTCCTACTCCTACTCCTACTCCTACTACTACCACTAAAAATACCACTACGACGACGACGATGACGACGATGACGACTACCTCAATCCCAGCTAGCTTTGGTGGGATCTAGTTTTGGTATGGAGGGGGGGCCCGGTTTAAAAATTTAAGGTCGATCATTATATACATCTCTTGAAAGTGTCAACCGATTGGGTGCTGACTCCCTTGCACTCTGCCATTGGCTCCCTTTTAATACCCTTGCCTCTTTCATGAGATCCAGCTCTGCGAAGGGACCTGAGACGCCAAACTCAACTCAACTGGCAACTCAAAGCTTTGGACAGCCACCACCTCCAACGAGAGCAGGTCTAAAAGTGGTCTTACTATGTCTTACTATGTCTAGCAAGCATGTCTTGTTTTTCTAGGTCTTGAACATGTTGCAGGTCAATTCCCTTCAGGTTTAGATCTCAGAATCGAACCTCGGAAATCATGGAGCGAGCTGCTCAAAAGTGTCTCTCGATCTTCATAATTGCTCCATGGAAGCTCATCGTTTTCTATCTCACAATGAGATGGCAAATCCTCCCAGATCCCAGCCGGACAGGAATCCTCGGATCCAAAACAATGCCTGCAGCCTCACCCACTTGCACACTTTGAGCGACCTAGGCTCAAAGAGCACAACAAAAAAGTTCTGACAAGAATCTTGCACTATTCTCGCAATCTGTTCCTGCGAGACTTGCGTGCTACGCCCATTGCTCTTCATCCACTCATCTGGTGTTTGAGGATTTGTGGTACCCACCTGATGATTGCAAACTTCATGCTTCTGAATTCTGGAGATTCGCAAACAGGTATATGGCATGCAGCAGCAGCTCCATATCTTCCTGACCCCTCACGCATGAACCAGTGTCTGCACGATATGTCGCATACAGTGAGCTTGATGAGATTGATATACTAAACTCCCGAATGAGCTTCGATGCCCTACCTAACCAAGCACCATGCCAGGGCGGCCTTATGCGGATATGGACATTCGCGAGGAAAGGCGTGATGCATCCACCTCGGAAAAGTACGTAGCTTCTTAACCTCTGGCCCGGCTAGTTCTGACCTCTGTCTCTTGTCTCTCTCCTGCACTCTCCCTCTCTCTCACTTTCTCCGTTCTCCCAGCACCCCGAAAGCTGTATTGAGTTGAGGCAAGCTGCAAAGCAAAGAGACGGCCATGAAGTGGTACTAGTTTGCTTTGTCCACTCTGCTCTGCTATGCCATCCAAACGCTCCAGCAATTTGGTGTCCAATTTGTCTGGCAGGGAGGTCAGCTCTGGGATGATCATGCAATTGTAAGTTTTAGAGGCTACTCTGCAGTTGGATCTCCTTTGTTATATATATATATAAGTAATTTACAAGATCAGTATATATACAGTATACAGTATTATTTACGTAGATGCATCAGCGCAATCAGAGCCTCATCTCAACTCTTTGGCATGACGCGCAGGATGCGTCGCATGCTACGCTGGGCTATGTGGTTTGCCAGCCCTGCCTCTGACAGGCACCGTGTCCGTGGAGAGGTTTGCAACTAGCGCTGCTAGAGTTGCAGAGTCTGCCGCAGGTGCAGCCACCTTCAAGTGGACACAAAAGCTGAGAAGAGTTGAGAAGAGTGCCAAAAATGGTCCAAGAAAGTCTTAAAGACTGGTCCGGAAAGGATAAGAAGATTTGAAATGGCCCGTGCAACTGAGATCATTGCAAACTGCTTTGAAAAGCCGTCAAGTTCCATCGAAACACACTTTAGGAGAGCAATGCTGAGATATGTCGAAATGGCCTGTTCTTCAAGTGTGTGCATGAGTCGCTCACAAGGGCTTTGGCAGCAAATTGCATAAAGGCCATCAGCGCGAATGCAATTGTTGAAACCTTGGTGTTCAAGCAGGGTTCTTGGACTCAGTATTCGTTTGAGCTTGGTTTAGCTTTCACCAATTCATGTCTTTCATCTTCGAGCAGCTGCTGATGTAATTTGCCAAGATGACATATTTCCGCTGTGCATCGGATTCATCCAACGCCCCCAGGTCACCTCGGCTCGAAGCCTTGAAGCTGAAGGCCTTTGACAATTGTTTTCTGGCTTCTACACCAAGACTAAGCCTTGAGCAATGTGAATAGCAAAGTATGAAGATTTCCCCCTAATTAAAGCCTCCATCATCTCTATCTCCTTGTGCCCTGGTTACAGTATCTTCTCGACACCCCTGCTTAAGATGCCATTCTGGCAGCACCTGCAGCCTTTCGGCCAACAAGCAACCAGCTCCAAGCAAACATGACAAATCCGAAGAAACGCTGGCAGGGTTACACTCCCAAGCAGTCCAATCTCCAAGGACCCCAACTGGAATGCAGGAAATGGCCAGAACACGCACAAAAGCCATGGGATAGGCTCAGGGGAAATCTAAGAAGCGCTCTGCAACGGTTCCCTCTCTCTGCACAGGGTGTTCAGTCACAGTTTGGTGGAAAGGCTCGGTTTCACGTCGTGTAAATGTCTTATAATGCATTATGTAATGTATACTTATGTATACTTATACTTAATCTATTTTCATCTCGCATTCCACCCAATCCTACAGGAAACCATTGTAGGTTTGGTTGCCAAACGCCACAAACATATCGAACATCTATGGGAACTTGCTGTTGCTAAGGCTCTCTCTCTCTCTGCCAAGTATCGCAGGTACTCTGGATTCTCAGTAAACTTCCAGTGTCTGTACCTGCTGCTGTTGTAGAAGTCGGACAATGGAATTCTGCCTCGGTTGGGACTTGGGACTGTGTAAGACTGAGGCGCACACAAAGCAAACGACTCGCCTGGTTTGCGACTGCCACCCTCCATCTTCATCAAAGTGGTCTTCAAGTCATTGCACTCCTAGCGAAAATGAGGCGTCACAGTTGTGTTATCCAGTAGCACTGCGAATTGGCTGGAAAAAAGTTGCCAAATTCTACACCGTGGGCCACACGCGAGATCCTTGCCTTGTCATTGAAGTGGGGAAATTCATCGCCAAACGCTTCAGCCACCCGACTCATGACAGAGAAGCTGATGCCACCATGCTCTTCGATGTCTGGAAGAGTGTACCTAGTAGCCCACCGAAGCCACTTCCTTTGCCCACCAGCCCGATTCGAAACTGTGCTCTCAGGTTGCTGGTTGACATTTGGTATTGGGGCTTTACTGATCGTCTGCGAAAAGCACAAAGATCACCACCTTACATATCACCAACAAAAGCCCCATCAAACAAGTATTAAATTTGAAAAAAAAAAACATCTCACGGCGTGTTTAGTCCTTGTGTCACCCAGGGTTGGTAAATACAAGTAGGCGGCACAGCCTTGCAGTCCGAGGGCCTCGTCCCTAGATCCTGAAGCCAACCATGCATTTCAGCGTAACCAGCGAAGCGCTGCTGAAATGCTACCAGGCGCCGCCTCCAGCGATCCAAAGTGCTGGTTTAACGCTGTGGCTTCTCGACCAGAAAGTGTTTAGAGGCATCCTTCCAACCTAATTTCATAGCAATGGCCTCTAACCTACAAGCGATGGCCTCCAACCTACAGTTATAGAATAGTTATAGAATGAGAAGGGACCTACTGTTTCTGTTCTCTCACCCTATGAAGGTTTTGCTTGCAACCGGCATCTTATGTTGTGATCACATGAAGATGGTGTCCTATGACAGCTGCATTTGCATGTCTTGGTGAAATTACAATAATTGTGGGGGCAAACTTTAACCTGGAAATGCATCCTCTCCCGAGCTTGGGTGCACAGTGATTGCCGGGGGGCGGGGGACAATTACAACTATATAATGGTCACAGAACGTTGTCTCATCAATTGCTTTTAGAAATGTCACAGGGCCTGTTCTTCTGTGGCTCTGCCATGGTCAAATTCCTTGCTGTGAGCACGACGATGAGGTACATGTCCTGCTCGTTGTGAAGTGGCAAGCTGCTTTGGAAACTATTCTGCTTTGAAGTGGCATGCGCTTCACCACCCGATTGACCGAGAATCATGCAACGTGGCACGCTTGCCGGTCCAATGCAGTGTCAGCATCCTCTGGAGTCAGCAAATCGCTCCTAGGAACAAAGGGCATCGCTACTAGGAGCAAGAAAGCTACTAGGGGCTCCTGGCCCTACTACTAGAACAAGAGTTCGCTACTAGGAACAAGACATAAATAGAATTAACAGTAATTAGAATTAGCAAATCGCTCTGAAAATAAATATCAGTAGCCAGCTGTTCTTCTGCAGCAATTGCACATATAGTCTAGCAGTGGAGAGAAGAATGATTGGAATGAGTGACACCAAACATATTCCCAATATACATATAGTCATATAGTCATATTGATGATAGGTGATCATCATAAATATTAAAATATATAAGCCACAAAGCATTAAGTTCATAGGGAACTCAGTCAGATTCAAGTTTAAACAACTTATCTGCCCTCCTGACGTTTGCGGTTGCTCAGATCATAGACTTTGACTGAAGTTCTGTAAGAATGTGTCATGTGAACTTGATATTTGGCGCTGCTGCAGTTCGCTTAAAAAATGGCGAAGCTTCTCCCTGGGCTACCCAATCACCCCAGGCCCCAAAGGCCCTATTGCATCCTATTGCAAAATTTAAAACAGTGATCAAATTCTCACCAAACTGTCCTAGCCAAGCATCGAGGGTCACTACTACTCAGCACTTGTCTCTGACAAGGTCTGTCGTGTATCTCGTGAGTGTGACGTATATGTTTCCTGATGTGCTGTTCGGCCAAAGCATCCGTGACAAACCCAAAGATTCATAGACTTTTGCCATCTGCCGATGGGACTCCTGATCTGCTAAATTCAGGCTCAGGAACGCTCAGGACCCAAGAATGGAAGCCACTTTGATCGCACATAATGGTCAACAACTGGAGCCTTGCAAACCACTAACCGCCAAGAAGTTGTCAATCTTTCCGGGCATTCAGCCATTCATTCGACTGAGGAGCTCCTAAAAGTTTTCTGAACCCCTCCTTCCGCACAAGATCTTCGATGACAGCTGCCATCTCTGCCAAATCATTGAGACTGGTCCCTGCGGTACGGTAGAACAGTCATGGACGATTGGACTGCAAAGCTCCAGAGACACCGAGGCTGCACAACTCGCTTCTCTGAGTGTGTGGCGATGTGTTGGGCTCCTTTGCTCCTAGTAGCGTCCTTGCTCCTAGTACCGATGCCCTTTGCTCCTAGTAGCTTCTTGCTCCTAGTAGTAAGGCCAGGAGCCCCTAGTAGCGTCCTTGCTCCTAAATGCGGATTAATGGACCCCCAAAATGCCGGGCAATTGTGACATCACACATACACAACCACCCCGCCAAAAAGAAACTGGAGTTCGGCGCACAGCTTCTTTCTTTTTGGTTGTCGTTGTTTATACAAGCTTGCCTTTGTGCTTCCCAATTCGGTCAAAGTGTAGCTGCAAGTACGACGGTATCCAACTTTCCCAATCCTTGGCCGCACTCAGAATCTAGCAGAATCTATATAGAATGAAGCGCTTTCCAAATGCACAAAATCGAGGAGCAACCGTTGCTATCAAAGGTGGTGTTGCAAACCTACAAAAGCCTAAAGACAAGCCATAAACGGTTTCTCGACCTTGACAATGGGTGTCATCTAATACTTACCGAAAGCAGTCAGGACCGAGGATCCTTTTTGATCTCAGGCTGCATCTGGGGCTGGTAAGCACCTAGAGCTGTGGGGGGGGAAACCGGGCTCGTGAACACAAGAGTTACTCTTGGAGAATCTGAAAGGCGGGATGGCGGAATGGCATAAGAATATGACGTGCAGTTCGCGGCGGGAAGCGATTGCGTATCAGTTTTCAACAACAACTTAAGAACCCCGTTTCCTTTTCTTCGTTTAAGCACCTTCTGGCTCCAAGCCCTTCACAAGCCAACCATGAGTATGCTGGAAGAAGCGATGAAGGACGTAACGCACTGCATGGCGGGTCAACAGCCCATCAATTTTGGGCAATGATTTGAAGTATGGTTGCAAGGACTGCTCCAGTGATTGTATCCGTTTCCGATCTGCTGCAACTTCTTGAAGAAGTTCATCCACTTCAGCACGGTTGAAGTACTCCAAATCCATAAATTTCACCTCCGAGTTCCCTTCTTTGGATCCACGGATGTTTCCTGCCGCAAGTGCCACAACAAAGGTCGCCGAAAGCACAACGCAAGTGAAGCGCATCTTGATATGAAAAGCAAAGTCAGACATACGGCGAGACTGCACGCGGCTGGGCGGATCTGCAATAAATTGCGAAACGGCAGCGGAAGCATACACTCAAGGCAACCCTGGAACGCCTTGCCATGTATCAAGTTTATGGGAACTCAGTCAGCAGCTGGATAATTGTCACCAACATTCACCAACTACACGGCATCGTTAGCAAATGTTTGCAATATATATATATACTAATCATTCTGTGTCCTTCAGTCTCCATTTCTGTATGTTTCCTTGTAAGTTGTCATGGCATCTGTCTGTCAGCATCACAACTTGAGTGCCAATCCGTGAGCGCTCCCTCGCCTGCAAAGCAGCCAGAGCATGATTCATGATGCGCAGCACAAATGGCAGGAACAAAGCGCGGAGGCTTTTTTTAAATAGGTACAGCAACTGTAACTGCAGGCATTCAAACGTTCTGGCCGTGCCTGTGCTTGGCGCCTCATGTCTGATGCGAATTTGCTCAGCCATGTTCAGCCACTGTTGAATCACACAAATACTCTTTTGTGGAATCACCATCTGCAGCCGTCTGTAGCCAAAAGCAAATAACCGTCCCAAATCACGTTACATTGAGACAAGAAGCTCGCGAAACTTGGAAAGGCTGGCGGCTACAAATGCAGAGGGGTTTCGCACCTTAGATTGTGCGATGGCTTCTCACATCTTTATCCTCTCTGAACTTTCGTGCTTGAAGGTCCTTGAATTGGAAAGGTTATTCGCATATCAAAGATTCAGGCATCTCCCTTTGCAATGATGTCTTCCTCAGAACATTCTGTTGCCAGGGGAGCAAGATAAAAGACTGAGTTCTGCAAGTCGGGTTCAGCCACATTCTGAGACATGCACTAAAACCTCGATCGCGCGGGCTGGCTCCGCTGCCTAGCAGGTGGGTGAAAGGCATGGCAACGCTGTCTAAGACCCTGATGTACGGGGAAACATGTTTATCCGGTCCAATTGTTTTTTAGGACGCTAGCTTTTTACAGAGAAGTCATGAAGTCCCGAAGGTCGCAAAGCAAGTAAGCCACACAATATGTCAAAAGTCACAAAGCCTCCAGTGTTGACCTAGCACGCTCGTCCAACTGCGCGGCAAGGGTAGGATGCAATGCCAACCTTGTGCAGCTATCCAGCACAAGCCAAAGACCGCAAGAAGAATTGTAAAGCCGCTGGAGGAAAGTTTATCTTAGCTATCCCCGAAAAGATTAGGGCTAAGCTTCCAACATCTGCTGTAGTGGATCAGCAGCCGGCAGAAAGAATGCTGGTGCTGTCATCTGTGGTGCTGCTAGTTGAGCTGCTGCCAGCTGAGAAGCTGTCAGCTGTGAGGCAGCCAGTTGATGTGCCATCAAGTGTGCTGGGTCTATTGCCATTTGAGTTGTCAGCTGAGGAATCTGGGACGTCGTCAGTTGGGGAATCAGTTGGGCTTGCGCTGCCTGCGCTGCTAGCATATATTGGGCTGCCAACAGGGCTGGTGTCGCTAGCATGGCCTGTTCTGCGGTCTGCGGCACATCCCTTCGCCTAAGCAAATGCACCGCACACGGGCCCTTACAAGCGAACAAAAACATGTTTTGATGTTTCTGTGCCTAGATAAGGCTCTTGTGTAGAGAGCAGCTTGGATAGAAGGTGTCTGACACAAAAGTCAGAGGTTTCCGTCAACTTTTTGTTGTGCAAATGTTGAGGGTTGAGCGGGCTGCCTAACATGTCTGGACAATATTGCAGCCTAACCTGTGGCCCCTGCGGTGCTGGAAAGTCAGCCAAGGCCTCCGACAGTAATTGTCGCCAGTGTCCAATATCTTGATACATCTTGTAGAGTTCAAAATGCTTAGTTTATTATGTTCAAATAAAAAGATCTACTCATACATGGTCCCAAGTAAGGTACTGGTCATTTGGGGTTGATCCCATCTCGTCCTGCTGATACCAATCTTGTCTTTTCAGGCTGACCTATTTCGAAAGGTATCGCGGCTTCGGCAGCTTAAAATCCAAAGTCTACAAGTTTATGATATGTTTGATCTTAATAAGTCTAGTCCAGGCCCCAAACAATTATTGATGCATGTTTCTCACCTATGAATGAATAATTATCCGCATCTTGGATGCTGTCAAATCTATTCAAATCTATCAAATAAAGTAAAACAATTGGACACATTGGTACAGCCCAGCCTTGTGTACAAACACATGCTAATACATGCTAATACTGCGTAATAGCTGATCATTATCAATCAAACATTCTGTGCCGAGAATGGGAATTGTCTGCCGTCGAGACGATCCTTCTGCCAAATGAGCTGGCAAAGTGCCTTCACCACAAAGGCCGAAGGGTTCCGTACATCTCCCCTGCTGTCCAATTCCTGGTGTGGGCACTTTAAAAAGCAACTGAACCACTTGACTCCGACTGCGACAGTGTGGAGAGATGGACTCCCATGACTCCCATTCCATCCGAGCCTGCAGAATCTCTTGAACTCGTGAGAGATCCTCAGCAGTGACACTCATCACACTCAGGCCATGCCCGAAGACATGCAACGCTTGGACATGACATGACTAAGATGCTCACAGAGGCCCGCATCTTTTTCACAGCCTGGATGCAGAAACCACCGGGTAATCACCATTCACGGCCCTGGTTTTGAGTATTTTATAGCATTTTAGCTTTCATGACTGACTAGTGGCATGTGCTTGCAGGGCAAATTGCAGCAGCACTGCAAACACATGGTCATTATGCAGCTGTGTTCTGTGGAAGACCTGGAGTGATAGAACAATAAGCCCAGGGCCTGAGTGTCAAGTCGCGCCCGCAGGTGCGGGTATCCTTGAAGCATCTGTTCAACCTGAGTCCGCATGTGCCCCACGTCAAATCAAGATGAGATTTAGACTATAAGTCACCATCTTGAGTCATATATGACCTGGCCTGGGTGGCCTGAAAGAGATCATGCTCCTGAAAAGGCATCGAACCCCAGGTCTTTCGCTTTACAAATCCAATAATCAAGCAATTGGAATTAGAATGGACATACTTAAGAAAGTCCTGGACTTCAGGTGGCGGTGCCAAAGCAGCATGGGCAGAATGCGACAGCGACTGCGTGCATGTCTTCAAACCGCTTCAGGGCAAGTACGTGGGTTCTTCTCCACAACTTAAAAAAAGCTCTGCTGCAGTTCTTCAATGAACATATTCCATACTGGTGAAAAGTTCTCTACTACATCTACCTGTATATTTACATATGTGTATATATGTAAGTACATACATGTTCTTCCAAAATTCTGGTGTATCGCATTCATTGATGACGACAACATACAGCAAGCAAATACTGTATGTATATATATATACCAAGGCTCTCACAATGGGTGTGCAAACTATATATATACTGTGTATGTACTATTATGTACTTGTGTATGTGTATAATATGATATGCATACATGTTCAGGCTGTTCCCTGTAGAGGCATGCGCTCATGCTATCTGAGAAAAAAACATACAGCATGTCCGACGCCTTCATCACAAAGGCGGATGGATTTTGCAGATCCTCACGCTTCAGTATCTCATTCACTATGTCTTTGGCACGCACGGGGTCCTCGGTGACAATAGAATCTCTGAAACAAATTGAAACAAAGGCTTGCCGGACTGAATTCAAAGGACTATGAGAGATGTGAAATGAAGTAGCGTCAAGCAAATTTCACTGAGAACGTATCCGCTTCCAGCACCCTGGCACGGTCAACTCATGAGTGCTTGCAACGCTGAGCCCATCTACTGATTTTGTCGTTCCAAATCTGTCCGGATATATCACCTGAACTTGAACTATCATCTGATAATCATATCTAGCACAATAATTTGTGTGGAGCGGAAGAAGGCCCAATAGTTGGGAAACAATTCCGAACTCCGAAATATAACATGGCACAAACATGCACAAAATGAAGCAAAGCTTACAATGCATGTTGCTCCAAAAGTTTGCCCGCCAATTGCTGGAACTGATCAACAATGACTCTTAAATTCTCTTAAAGGACAATTCACAAGTTGTTGGATTCGGATAGCTGAACATCTACTTGTTCATATGCTTATTGAAATCGTTTTGTCAGCTCAAACTTCTTCCTACAAAGTCTATTCTGTCATTTTCCTTCCATCTAATGAATTCAATTCCCACCAGCTGTCAATTGAGGCTCCCCTGTCTTCCAATCAAACAACTTCACGTTCCGCTTGGGACCTTATTCTTGAGAACCAAAGAATTCCGGGGGAAAAAAAAAACATTCAACCAGTCCACCACTTTCATTTGCAATCCTCCTATCCAAATTCAAGTTTCCTCTCCTTCTAGGTCAAAGTACTTTGTAACCAACGCTTTTCGGATATTGTTGATTTCCTCACATGCTTGGGTAGTCTTGGGTAAACTCGTTTTCAACATTCCCAACCAAAAAGAATGAGCAAAAGCGGTTGGGAGGCGACAAAGACCCGTTCTGATTGATTGTGATTAGAAAGGTTGGCTGCTGGCTTTAGACATGTTATTGGAGTACCCTCTGTCCTTTTATATTACATATTGCCATTGCGGTTGCCGAAAAATTGCTCAAACAAACGGATTGTAAGATTTTTGATGTGTCCGATTGAGCTTGGTTGTCCAAGAAATGAATGCCCCTTGCTGAAAGGTCCTGCATTTTCCTTTCCAATAGAGATTCCTGTGCAAAATAATGTGCCACTAGAGGCCTTCGGGCCAACCTGTATCGATTGATTGCTATTCATTGTAGATCAAGGCTTGACATTTTTGCCAGGAATCTAATGTACGGGTTTGTATCTGAGATTGTTTATCACTTCAATATGCAATGAAACGTTTCTTGGATTTTTATAGCTACTCCGCTACCCCGTTCTCCCAGGGTGCTCACCTGGCCCGTGCTCTGTCGTCAAGTTTCTCTGCAACCCTCAGTCAATCTTGGCCGCAAAATCTCTGCGTCGCTTAGCAGCTTGGCACATACCAAGTCCGAACATTGAGTGTCTTGAGGCTGCAACGCTGGGAAAGCATCCAGAATAGTCTCGCGAGGCAAGGCAGTGCAAAACAAGTGTTTTAAACTTGCTGGAGCGATCTCAGGTTTATATGAATTATCATGCAAGTAACATGGAGCCGCAACTCACGAGCCACAAGGTATAACTGCCACATGGTTGCATAAAACGCGTTGATACGGGCCTCACCGGGGGGCGGAATCACACGCGGGGTCGAAGCTGCAGAAGGAGGCACAGCATTCCTACACAAGGTTAAATGAGACTCCCAATGCGATCAAAAAGAATCGAAGAACAGACCTGCTGAGCGAATGCACAACGAATGCAGATGGATTCCGTACCTGTCAGGGTGAAGGCATTGCTGGTTCGGGGCACATACACACACCCAAACTTCCGACATAGCCATTTGATGTTTGCAGGGGTGCATCTGGGCGATTGGCAAGCTCTTCAATAAGCTCTGTTGCACGTGGCAAGTCGACCTGAACGTCAGTCAAAGTCTCAATGCAAATACGATAAATACGCCGCTCTAAAAAGTTCAAAGGAAACTGGACCCACAGCAGTGCTACATCAAGCAAATGGACAATTACTGTACTAAATCAGCTGCTGACAAAGGGTGCATCCATTCTTCAAACGCACATGGGAGCAAACATATGCAAAAATAAAGCAAATTGCAAGGGAACAGCTTTCCTGGTGGTTGTGGGTGTCCGTCACTTGTGACCAAAACAGATCGCCTCCGAAAGTCGGCGCACAGCACTGGCATCCAAGGCCTGCACAAGGATGTATAGTGGGCTGTTCATGCCTCGTCTTCCCTGTGTGGCCTCTGTGATGAGTCTCATTATATATTGTTTCAGTGAAGCTCTACAATACAACTCAAAGAGAAATCGAATTACGACAAACTGAAAAGAATGACATGTGACATGCATGCTGGCATTTGCTATCTCAAATCTAGCTCACCTTGCTTCCTTTGTGCCACAATCTCCGCATCAAAGTCATGAATTTACTGATCTTCCTTTGCTTGCTGCTCACAGTTCGATGTCCTACACTACTGTTGATCTCTTGGGCATTTTTGTTCGCTCTCTCTCTCTCTCTGTCTCTCTCTCCCTCTCTCTGTCTCCATCGCCGTCTGTAAGGGAGGGATTGCTTAAATCATATCACTATAATCATATCATATTCTACCGGGGTGACCCAACTGTGCGGAAAAACACGGAAGATTCCAAAGTCCGGCAACCACCAACCACTTGCAACATGTACGCCCGCCAATGTACGCCACTTCTGCCGCGGGGCCTTCTGCAGGTCTGGGTGTGTTTTTAGCAACTCCTGGATGTTCCTGATCGAACAGCACAGGCAAAGCTCAAGAGAATTACATTGGAACGGTTCGCAGATATGCAAATACAGAAAACTATGAAACAAGTTGTTTCAATATTTTCCTAGAGTAACAAAGCGAAGAACTTCATAAATCAAAGGCATTGAAATGCTGTTTGATAAGACCACTCTACCCTTATCAAAGCAAGCCCTGGTTGAATACCAAGGCCAGCTCCCTGCTTGTTGCAAAGCTGCAGCTGAGGGTTGAGAGGAGCTCGTGCGAAGCGTCGGGTTCTGACGCGAAGCCGAATGTGAACATGTGAAGGAAAAACATGCAACAATGCAATCCTCAACATAATTTGTCCCCACTCTGGTAGACAATGCCCGCAAATGCAAATCAAAATGTGTGTGTTTCTCTGCCGGCATCTTCGCAGAATCACCCTAATTGCAAGTGAAACCGAGGCAGTTCTGTTGGTTACGCCCGAGTGGATCTTCTAGATTGGATCTTCAAAAATAAGGCCAGGAGCCCCTAGCGTTCTTGTTCCTAGTAGTATGGCCAGGAGCCCCTAGTAGCGTCCTTGTTCCTAGTAGCAATTACGGATATGTCCCTTCAACCCCCACGCATATCAACTGACATGCTGCCCAGTCGTCACCTTTGCGAGAGTGGCTGCGACGAAGGCAGAGGGGTTTCGCACCTACGTCTGAACGTCAAAGACTCACCAAAAAAGAAAACACTGGTGCAAATCTCGTGCCGAATCCCACTGACCAGCGCTACAGGATGCACCATCAACATCCATCAACTCAAACGGCGGCAATTTATTCAAGAACTTCTTTGGACAGGCCGGCACATTGCTTTTGTTCTGCAGCTCTTCAATTACCTTGCGCAAAGTGTCACACTGTATCTGCAAATGAAAGTGATCAGCAACCTGGTGCAAAGGTCTAAGGTCTTTGTCGTGAACGTATGCCTGCACAGCCCGTTCAGGGTTGGCCCGTGCCAATGCCAGCAAAGCTGCCTGCACCACGGTTTCTGTTCATGCTGGAGTTGGAGGCCATCGCTATTAGGTAGGGTTAGGGTGGCACATGTTGTGAGCCATAGGTCCATAGTCAAGAGGCGATGGCTAGTTAGCCGGACACTGGTTTGGCCTTAGATGTCTGTCCCTCCAGAACAACATATCTATATATTATCTATATCTGTTTATCTATGTCTATGTGGGCCTACTGAGCCCGCTGCATGCCCACAACAGCAAGCAGCTGCTCCCCCACCCACCATCATGGTATCTTGTGGGGCAAGCAAATGGCGTGCGCCGTGTGCCGTTACTCTTGTCAGTTGAGCTGGTGTGCTGATCAACGTTCATGCAAAGTTGCAGCTTCTTTTTCGCACTTGCTCTCTTTGGTATCGATTGACATTGATCTACATTGTCACAAGCTTGTACTGCAGGTGCCCTTACGTATCCGCACGCGTCCCCTCAATTCGCGAAGTCCCTGGCATCAAGCTCCGTGTCTGTCCTTCTTCCATTTGCCGACCTCTGTCCCCTTCTCCATGAGCCTAACCGGAGGATGAGGTGTCGAAAATCAGCCATTGTCTGGGGGACCTTTTGAGGTTCCCTCTGCCCAGTGATCCTCCAAATAGCTGGAGAGAGCTCGGAGAGAACCATGAAAACAAAGTGATCAGAGCTCTTCAGTGAGCACTGAGGACTTGGATGAATCCTCCTGACCACACCGATGATGTTCGTCGGTTAAACGCACCCAAACATCCAATTGGTGGAAGGAAATCGTGCTCTGTCATTGATATGGATCCCCATATCATGCAGGCTTGATGCAAACAAACACGCTGTTGTACAGAACAACACTGTAAAAACATCGTTTAAAAAGAACACTTAGAGCGGCATCAAGTCCTCAACATCATCCAAATCAGGAATATTATCCTCATCCAATTTCTTTGGCTGGTCCTGTTGGGCAAACGTGTCTTGACTGTTTGACTGGATTGCTTTTGCATGCTTTTGCTCTCACTGTGACTTCTTGCCAGGTCCTGGTCCAACGGCGAGAAGCGACCCGACCGCCAAACAATATCGCACCTCAGAGCTACGTTGAGTGGCATCATCTTACGTCTCCGTTGCTGACTATTCTGCAAGGTTTTGTCGAGCATGTGCTCGACAAACAGCATCATAGAACCATAGAAAACATTCCAAAGCAAAGTCTGAAGAAAGCACCACTCGCGCAAAGTCACATCAGTGTCAAGGGGCAGCTTGGATTGCCTCGTGGCATGCACGTACCATACACGAAAGCTGAATTGCACGTTTGGCATCCAGTCTAGGGTTGCTCGAGAAACTTTTGAGGGCGCAAGGAAGAGAGCGTGAAACGAAGGGTAACCTCAGCAACTCAAAGTGTGGTCTGCCAGCGCCGGCCTAGACATCTGCAGTATCATCTGTTCACCTTGCTCTTTGACCCTCTGATAGTAAGCCTCAAGCTGTGGGATGGTGAGATGGACATCCCATTGGGATCCATTTCTTTATGTAATGACTTGCTTCAGTATCATATACGTACAAATCATACAGTGTACATCCACATGCTTTCGCATGCTTCACTGCCAGCTCCACAGTAACACAGTGTAGAGTATAGAGGTATGTATATATATAATATATTCCAGTCACTATTTGTTGAGTGATCTTCCCAACCTTTTGTCCTGCCTGACTAAAAGCGCGCCCTCGACCTCATAACAATGTGCTTAAACTCGCTTAAACTGACTGAAAACAGCCAGGCGATGCTCATGACATGTGATGCCCACACTGGAGGAGGGACACCTGACAAAACATGAACGCAAATACAGGAGCACCTCCACAGCCAGCCCGAAAGAATTCCAATGGTTCAGTAAACAGACTTGCTTGAAAACGCAAAGGAAGTGGCTGAACCTGGCAGGATTTGCGCCTCCCCCGAACAAGTGTTTGAACCAACATGGTTCAACATGGCCTTTCACCAGCTTGATACTGATCTCTACACATTTTGTAAGGTGGACCTTTTTGGAAAACATGTTAACATACTAAAGAATGACACTCCTCAACCTCCATGCTAGATTCTTTGCCGCAAGCCAGTCTACAGAATGTTTGTTCAACATCGAACACCTTAGAAGTATAAGTGAGCCCATTCCGTGAAGGAATTGGCGCACTGGATACGTGCAAGTATACAATACATACGAGTGGCGGACGAAACTTCTTGGTTTCCGCAGTGCCAGAAGTACTTTGGGTTGGCCCCTTTCGGTTTTCAGTGTTTTGTGTTCACTCGCGGAACTTCTTCTCATGAGCACATGTGTGACGCTCAAGAATCATTATGTGTGGTAAGGTCATTGGTGTCGCCTTCAAGGGTGTTATCGCCACACACAGCGCCAGCAACTTTATTGACTTGTCGCCCTTTGATAATAGTAGTAGCAGTGGCAGTAGCAGTAGGAGGAGGAGGAGGTATCGGTAAATTTAGACCCAAATTTCGACAGCATTTTGCAAGTCAATTTACAGCTGCTGGACACTTGGCTGAACATGGAATTATGGAATTCCCCTGGCGCACCCGTCCCTTGCTCACATGCTTTTCTGCTTCGTTCCAAACAAACCTCTGTCAAACCACCAGTCTCCCACAGCACCACTGGCATGATCAATTTGGTTCCAAAGCCATAACCTAAGAAAGGGTATCGGTGTAGGGTTGGCCCCTATCGGTTATGCATGGTTATGCGTTTGTTTTTTAAATCAATTCTGAGATACTTAAGGCAGCTCCTTACTAAACTACATGCACGGAACTTGTCGGATGCTCATATGATGTTATTGATGTCATGTGTCTATATACTATGTATATAATTGTTACTGTATATCTTGTTATGCTCATTATACTCTCTCTTGCTCTGCTGATGTGGGCCTCCCCCGCCACTGTCTGGGCAAGGGCAGTTTCAACAAGATTTTACCCAGGCAGAGAACAACAGTTGAACAACTTGCAACATCGTGCAGGTGAGAAGCAGTGTTGCTTTTCGCTGAATCCATTTGCTGAAAGACAGCGCCCAGGTCGTCCCGAAGCTCTTGCTTTAGCTCCCGTTTCATGCGTTCTTTTTTTGATAACTTTGAAGCTTCTACGGTCTTTGCAGTTTTTGTAGAAGGGGGTGGCGACGGTGGCGACACATTGCCCACGATCTGATTGCTGATCAGGTCAGCCATCTCGTCTAACTTCCTGATTTCAAAACTTGCAGCTTTACCGTTTTACGTTACAAATGCACCGCCTGTTTGAGGCTAACAACATCAACCCTTAACATGCTCCTTGTGCGTGGCTTGCCGGCAGAATCTCTGAAAATGGCAATGTTGTCCACGACGCACTTGTTCAAATCATTTCGCCACTCATCCTGCCAGTTCCTTGCTTGCTTGCTTGGAAAGCCGTACTAAAAATTAACACAAAAGCTGTTCAACACAGCGCTGTGGGGCAACAACACAGTGTGCGCGGCGAGCCTTTTAAAAAAACTAAACAATCCCAAGGAACTGCTTGACTCGAATCTCAGGCTTGGCGATGGACAGCCCCAAAATAGCCGCACTTGCAAAGCTCCATCGAGGCATTGCGCTTGGAGCCACAGCTGTGCAAATCAGGCTGTGAGACTTGCATTCAGATGTGACGGAGAAAAACCAACAACTTGCCCGTCTTGCCTTTGCTCACATCTCACGCATAATCCAACAGCTTGATCTGGCATATCTATGGTGTTGCCATGTGTTGGCTCTTTCAGTTCATATGCCGAGCCGTTTTTTCTACATGCATCAAGCACTGGTGCAATGTCATCTCCTGCAGAATGCTAGCAAGACCTTCGGCGCCCAACCATATTGACCCCTTTCTTGAAGAAAGGCCGATAGAAACATGTGCTAATTCTATCCTGCTGCTTTCCGATCTTACCCAGAAAAACAACACAATGGAGACTGGACCGGGTAGATTATACTTCTGGAGCATGTCCTCAGCATCTTAGGCCAAGCCTCATCTAAACGAGCTTTGAGAGCAGGATCCTTTGCAATTGCCTTGCAATGCAAATACAGCAGCATGAGGGAAGCAACAGCTGGCAATATGCGTATATAGACATTTGATTTTTGTTCATTGTTTCTGAATTGAACCAATGTCCAGGTCTGAGCATCTTGAATGTGAGATTCATTTCAAGGGAACGTTGCTCGTGTTGAAAAAACCCGCAAAGTATCATGACTCTCTCAAACTGTCAGGGCGTTATGTTTCGACAAAATCAACTTCAAACTTTTTGTAGGGTAATCCTTTCAATCTGAGATTGATGCAGCTTCAACTTCGGCTGAAAGGGTCTGCCCCAGAACCACTGTTGCCATGAGGACTGTGGCAGTGGCACTACAACTCTTCTCAATGAATTCTTGGTGTTCAGGGCTCTAAAGCTATGCCTCCAGAGCAATGCTGTTGCTTGTGGTATGCTCCGTTTCTCCTTCCACATGCTATACACTCTTGCATTTCATTCATTGAGAGAGCTGCGGCCCCAGACGACAACTAGGTGTAGGATGCTGAGAGAACTTTCCCATGATTTTCACTGATACTTTGACTTGTACTGCTGGTCCTGGCTGAAACATTTGCACCAATTGAGCTGAGAGCCTGACGAGCAACAGTATTGACAGGTAGAGCCTTTCAATCTGGCAACTATTGGTGGGTGGGACCTTCAAACAGGATGCCGCAGTGCAGCAGCAATAAGCAAGCATTTATATGTCTGTATTGGCTGGCAAACGTGCCGGGACTCGCAGGAGCACTTTTCAGCTCACTAAAGCTGCGATAGCATTAAAAGAGCCCGCGAGCTGACGCCATCATTCAGCCCATGGATGTCAATTAATTTGATTCACTTGATGGATAGCTTAATCCCTTCAAATGTCTACGCATGTCTACACCACAGTCCAGCGCTCATTTGCTTGGCATCACCAAGGACAGTGAACCATCCTGTGAAAGTAAAAAACAACCGAACTTCACATCCATGACATCCGAAATGTTTTCGACAAAAGCTTGAGCACAGCACGTCAGCTTCCACCACCTCAAACAAGGAAATCCCCCCGAGTCTCTTTCAGTCTCTGTCAATGCCTAGAAGGACTGGGTTTGCGCTTCAAGTGGGGCATGCCGTATGAGGCTCTCAAAAAGTGTCAATCTGTGTCAATCAAGCACTGTCAGCTCTCAAACAGCAAAGACTATTGGGCACAGTGCTGAGCAGTCCAAATCGAACTATACATATACAGTATAACTATACTATATGACTATACTATACTATACTTACTGAAATAGGGTCAGAATTATATTGATGTACATCGTTGCAGCACTTGTTGCATAGCCCTTGTAGCACATGGGAGCCCATGCAAAGACGAAGATCAGAAACACCCTTGTTGCAACACTGGCCCGGAGACACCTCATAGGCCTGCACATTCTTCTTCTCACCACCAACATTAGACCTCGAGAGCAAGAGCCCTGAAGAGTTGGACAGGATCACATAGCCACAAACACATCCGAAGAACCAATTCCACAGGAAATTGACATACCAGTAGGATCTTGCCCAGGCTTCTGTCTTGGATGTTGCTAAAAAACTAGCCTCCAAAATCAAGAGCTTCTTTGTACCATGGCATGGGCCGCCGCCGGACTTTGTGAGGTCGAATGGCAAACCCATGTCAGCCCAGGTCAGTTCGGGGATACCCAATGCGCCGTGGAGTTTGTTGGCATCACAGTGACAAGCACATGTGCAGTTGTCACACCAACGATGGCCTCTCCCGTCTGCAACTTACATTATGGTGATTGAAGTCAACGCCTTATTATGCCACTGCAATAGTAAACAGCTGAAGCAACACCCAACTTAGATGCCCACATGAATCCAGCAACGAAGTCATTCTCAAAGCCCAAAGCACCAGTTACCCACCTGCAAGCTGGAGAAGCTCAACTGCCATGGAGAGGGAAATCAAATGAAATCATTGAATGAATATGGAAAGGTTCTTCACTTCCTGTTTGTGGTTTCAGAACCTCCTCGGGCGTCTCTGACACACACACACAACAACCTCACTCTCTCTCTCTCTCCCTCTCTCGCTCTAGTCTCATGGTGGCCGTGCATGCATGACACCTTTTTCTACAGGCCTATCTGTTCACTCTGCTACCACGAGGACGTAACAAGCTCACGGCCAAACGTGGCACAACAAGGCCAACCAAAGCCAGTGTAACGTGTGCAACAGCTTTGCCGAGCTTGGCGAGCAGCAAAAGGTTGATGATGATTGTCTGCTCACTGCAGCACGCGCAGTTTTAGAAAACTATATGCTCCTTGGAACATGTAACACCAACAAAAACGTTACTATAGGTAAATTGTTAATCGTTAGATTAGATCATGAAGTCCGGCTCAGATACAGGTGAAACATCCATCAGCCACAATGACATAACACCGGTGTGCCCACGTGAAGAATCGTACACTGCCCTCGTGCGCAATGGATGGTTCCTCTGAAAGCGGGGAGCTTCCTCACCACCCCAAACACATGGCAATAGTCCAGTCATGTAGCCATTCTCATTTCCAGCCTCAGTGCCGTTTCCATACATGATTCCGTGCGCATTGTCCTTGGAGGCATACACATGGCAAAGTGTTTTGTTGGTAACCTCATCAATCAGCTCAAGCGAAAGACCAGCAACATGAAGGTGAGGAGCGGCAAACACAATGTCAACGAGGTCAGTGGCTTTGTGATGGTCGTTCGGAGACTTTGGATGACGATAGTAGTAGCCAACAGGCTGCACGGTTTCCACAATGTGAAGGCATTTCCCGGGCGGGGTGCCGGCTGCACAGACTGGGACATCATACTCGATATTCTCAAAACCCTGGGTCGTGCCAGTGACATCACAACATGCACTTGGCTCCATGTGGCGGGTCTCTGGTGTTGCATCTTCGTAGTAGAATGTGTACTTCATAAAGACCTCATCCTCGGGCTCTTCTGAACACTCAGGATCTTTGCATTGCTTGTCAGTGTCAATCAAGAAGACCCCATTCTCGCAGCATCTCCACCCGCCAACATATGTAGACAAGCTGCAGGACGGGTTCCCTGTGGCAGCGAAGGAAGGGCTGCATCGAATCGGGGGATCTGGATCTCGGCCATCAATGGTCCCAGCAGCCACGTCAATCTTGCGCTGGGGTGTGCAAGGGCATTCCAAGAGTGGTGAGTACGGCACCGAGCTATTCTCCAAAGGCTTGTTGGTGTTGATGACATGAAAAGTCGGCACCCATACCTGTGGCGACTTGATCACCCTGCGGAATGGTGCACTGTACCGTTGAGGGTTGTGGCGGTACTCTGCTCCAGCTGCACTGCCAAAAGTGACCAGGTCTTCATTGTCCCCAAGCTGCGTGAGGAAGGAATGGATTGGAGCCCGAGTCATGCCATGACAGCCCCTCAGCATTCGAGCAAACATCTTGTCTTCAGCAGCGTGCTGGAGGACTTTGTTCCTGTATGCGGAGCACTCAAAGCCAAATGTCAAATCAATTCAGAAACAAGCACACACACATATATATAAAAACTCACGGCCGATTCTTTTCACAACGCTCCGCAGTTAATCACAAATAGAAGTGGGAAAATACTGAAATTCAACAACTTGGTCTTTCACCAGACCATCCCTCCATGGGTTTGACCTGTCTAAGGTCTAAAGGAGCAGCTTTCCCAACTCTCGCCTAGCCGAAGAGAAAGGAAAGCCCCCCTTGCCCCCCTTGAAGCATTTCGCCTAGCCGAAACCTTCAAGCTGGTGCCTTTTTTCGAAAAAAGTTGCAAGAAAGACCCCCCTTCCACGTGCCCCTTTTCCTGCGGCGCGCCCGCGAGCTCAAGTGTGGAGGTGAGGCTAGGTTGTGAAAAACGCGAACAAAAGGCAACAAGGATTTCTGGGGAAGTCTCATGTCGGCCAGCACTGCCATGGACTCGTTCAAATATATTCGGGCAGTTTTGGCAGCTTGCCACCTTCCAGCGACCATCAACTTATCGAACGAAGCATGCTTGCCAAACCAAAATGTCGCCCCCCCCCCCTTCGCAGGGAGTAGGGCCTGAACTCAAAAAGGGTCAGTGGCAATGCCTGGAGGCATTCGGAAAAGAGTTTACGCCAAGCTGACACTGAGGGGACAAACAGTGCATGAGGTTTGACTCCCTGTTTCCATGCCCACAACCACCGGAGGGCCACAGCTACATTCAGGGTGACTGACTCGGAGACTCCTACACGCTTCCCACTCTTAGTTAGACCAAGGCTAAGGACGGCAGGGGCCGTTTCGGCCTTCATGAAAACGTGCGAGGCTCGTAAACTTGTCAGTTCACCTGTGCGCAACATCCCATAAAATCCTACGAGCAGGGAGACGCCGAAGCCGAAATGCCCATGGAAAAAGCTCCAGCCGACCATGGCCTCCAACGCGGTCTCGGGAAGAGGGGGTGCCCTGTTTGGGACCTCGTTGACGTTCCACGTCTTTAAAAGTCTCCAGGTCAATTGTAGCTGTCCTTTCAGCTTCGGATCCGCGTCCTGCATTCCAGCGACAGTATCTGCTGCAAGGCCACGTCCCTCCCCTTCGGACCACAGATGTTCAATGTATTCGGCTAGGAGGCTATCAAAATGCTCCCTTCTGCTTGGAATCTCGAGGGAGTTTTCGCGAAGGAAATTGTAAAACTTGGTGCGTGCGGCAATGTACCTACTACTGGTTTTGTTTGAAACAGTGAGACTTCGAAGGGTGCCCAACTCTCGCCTCTGTGCCACCGGCTTCACGGCCACATTCCCAGGTAGGCCAGTACAAGCGCGGCCTGGCACACGGTGAAATCCCTTTGGCATCAATACGGAGGGGGGTTCGCTGGAAGGCCTCACTCATAATTGCCCTGTCCGCAGCTGACATGGATGCGACATTTTCAACCATCTCATGCACTTGGGCCCAGTAGAACTCCCGCCGAAAGATCGCAGTGATCCGCGGAATCTCCTGGAACAAACGACTCCGCTCGTCCCAAAGCGCGCCAAGGCGATCAGCTTTTAACCCACTGACTCCTTGGCACGGTGGCCCCGCGCCTACAATGATGAGGCCTACATTGCTGTACTTCAAAGCCAGCGCCCGGAACAAGTCACCTCTCCATCGACCGGCGAACGAAACTCCATCTGCGCCAGTGGGGTCAGTAGAATAAACCTGGCAATCTCGACCTTGACCTGATAGGGCAGCCCCAGTCGCACCACCGGTGCTTCACCCTCGAAACGCTTCATGTGCTCAAACACGGCGTTGAGACTACCCAACAGTTGACGACGAAACATAGCTAGGTAGACGAAGCCCCCACATACTACCTGCAGTTCGCGCAGTGTAGATTTCCCCCTCACCAGGAGCTCAAAACCCAGCCTACAATACTGGACCACCTTCTGTGGTTTT